CAGAAATCCACTATATACATATGCAGGACTGTGAGCAGTTCACTTCCAACTAAATGCACCTTCAACTTGAGATACTATTTTTGACTTAGCATTCAAACCAGCATTAATTGTATCACTATGTTTTGAAGTTTTAGCTGTACAATGCTAACAGTTACAGCTGTAACTACTGTATTAACAATAGGGTTCACACTTTTATACGCAACATACACTAAAGCACAAATACCGAACTTCCCTTGTCATAAAGTTCTCCCTGGTTTATTTTTAGACATTTAACGAGTTGAGAGCATCCCAAGTAATAAGCCTAGGGTGTTTTTTCCAGGCATCGATTATGGTTAAAATTTGATCAAATGTGTGTGTAAAAAGTGTGTTTCATTGCATAAAAATGGTGATTGGTACAGTAGTTCTCTCTATTCGACAAGGGTTGTTTGGTTCATGCTTTTAAGACAAAACTCGCATAATATATAATATCACAGTTCATGGTGAACAACGCAACATGGTTCACACTCTTTCTGGTCTGTTATTACTCACGATGAACCCAATGTTGCAATACTGAAGACAAAATCTGGGGCATATGTATGGACCAAATTTAAAGAAAACAATGGTCCATTAACTGAGATAATGAGACGGATAGATGAATGAATCAAATCCATGCACCCACAAACTAAGTATCCAGTCAATGAGGTGAAAAACACTAGTTTATGAAAAGATTAATTTACCCTCATAAGCGGCTGTGAAGTCGTGTCTTTGTTGGCGACTAAAGTAACACTTATCCCACCATATCAACAACTCCTGACGAATTCCTTCAATAACCTTATGTATGTTCTGTCTCTTCAACTCTTCTAAGCGAGCAATTTCAGCTCGGAGCTGTAAAAAAAGATTTCACAATTTTTCCTCTGACTCTTGTTGAAATAACAGTAGAATTATTATTATGACAGTAACATTTACTTTGAGTAATAGTTAAAACGAATAGAACTTAAAAGTTTGTGAAGAATGGAATAAACAGTGAGAAGACAACCTCATTTTTAATATTAGGTGATACAATATTAATGATAGTCTTTTTTGCCAAACTAGGACCAAATGTCAATATGGCAATGTCATCAGATTACACTTTAGTAATATTCAAGTAAACATTGATGTCAAGAAATGCAAATACATACAGCTTCAATGACTTTGGGTTTATATCCTACAGCTTCTGTGAAAAATTTATTCTGTTCCAATTTATCAACCAATAGCCGATCATATAACGTCTGTATTCTGTCTCTCAGTCTGTCTCTCAGATAATACGTCTCCTTCTTCTTGTCTTGGAGCTATCATAGAAAGGAAATACTAAATATTACAAGTCTGAACCATTCTGAACCAGTTTTAAAAATTAATTTACTTAAGTTATCAACAACCTTAAACTAAGGATAAGGAAACGCTCACTGTGCCTCAATCACTAAATTTACGAGATTCCTTTCAAACCTAATTATTATTTGAGATTCAGTTCAAGGTACAAGTTCATTGTGTGCAAAAGGGAATAATCTTGAAGAAATCTGATACAAAACACTTAAGATTAAAAGAAAAATTCCAAAATGTATAACCAGTCAATATTTTGTGCATGTAGACATCAGACATTTATAGAAGACAAGTGCTCATGCTGTCATGTGTTTGTTGATTACCAGCACCCGATAGTTACATTATGTCAGGGTTTATTGCCAATCTATAAATCAACAAATAATATAAAATAAAATTGTTCTGATACAACTTACTTATCAAGTTACTAAATCCAAAATATAATTTTATCCAACATTGTTGATGTCTCCCGTTACTTACAAGCACACACTGTAGACATACTATTATTACTGTGAATATGAATTTCTTTCTGGTGGAATAATATTCATTCATAATAGTGAAAAGTTTAAGGTAGAAGCCTACTCATAAATTAAAAAACCCAGAATTTATTTATTTTGCAATAAATTGTACTCCAAGGCAATATAAGGATTTTGACCTAAAAAAAGTTGGGGGTCACCAGCTTTTTTTTCCAGAAATTGATAATTGTATTTTACTGGAAAGTCGCCATTTTGACACTATTATAACACTTTTACCACAGGTTTCTATGGCAGAGGTATTATGCAATATCTCAAAATCCATTCTGGTGACATTCTGTAACACACAAAAATGCTATTTCATTGTACCATAGGACATTAGCTTCATGATTGTACATAATAAACTAATGAACATTGTCATGTGATTTATGACCAATTTTATCAAAAATTATGATTTGGCTTCTACCTTAAAGCGGGAGGGTTGTCACCTGCGCACACAAGAGAATTGAGTCCCAAGCAAGAATAGCAACACGCGCTAAAAAGGAAAAGTCTTGTGGGTAGACACTTGTTTATGAACAATGACATGCTATGACCATCTGACACATGCGCAGGTGACGATTCCCCTTGCTTTAACAGAAAACAGAATGTCTTTTCTTACCTCTGTATGGAGTGATTTTAAAGCATCCATATTCTCAGCAGATAGCAGAAATGAGTCTTCTTCCTCACAAACTATGTCACGTTCAAATGAAGTATTGGGACTTTGTTCCAAGTCTTCCAAAATGTCTAAGATGTCTTGTTTCGTCTTAGTAAAAATATTGTACCCAGAATTCTACAATAGAAATTACCATAAATAAATAATAAGGAATGTTTTTTCCTTCCAATAATTTTATGTGCTGGATGCTTTATTTTTTATATTTCTTGGTGTAAAGTATTACAGGTAAATTTATTTTAACTAGTGAATCCATGCTATGATGTATTTTCATTCGTGATGGCTACACCCTGAACCACTCCTAAAAACAGGGTTAGGCCATGGGGTTACGAGAGTGATGTGACATGTTTATAATAAATGTACATGGAAAATAGATGCCAAAAGTGTGAAAACAGCACAAAATACTTTGTGTGAACATTCCTTCATGCATTATAGTACTTCTGAAAGTTTTTTACAAGAATGTTGACATTCTGACAATGTGAAATGCAATTAGTGATGTAACTGATCTTAAGGTAGAGATGCAGTTTATTTGTGAATTTCAATCAAAAATAGTTTTTTTCGTTATTTATATAGATTTTTATCTAAAGAACATTCTGTGAAAATTTGACCAATGAATTCTTATTAGAACACCGTTAAAATTGCTGGTTATTTTCTGATTAAAAATAAAAACACTCTCACGTGGCAATGTTTATGTCCAATTGCCTAATTTGCATGAGTAATCAATAACAGGACCTTTGATTGACATATGCAAATCGAGATTGTACGGGTCATAGTTCATTCATTTCACGCGCATGTG